CAGACGCCCACCCCCACCCCGCGCCCCGCACCCCGCGCCCCGCGCAGCCTGAAAGTGTCTATCATTTTGTGAGCCATCCATGCCCTTTATAACTTCCAAGTGGGGTTTTGAATAGACCATTCAGAGCCAGCAGATTTTCAGCTTGCTTCTCCTAACCACCCAGACAGCATTATTTACAGAAGTCCTTTTTAAATTTACAGCAAACATTGTACTTGAGCTTATCGCTAAATTAAATTTACTACCTTTTTTCCCTCTTGAACTTAGCTAAATATCTTCATTGTCCCGATGGCTTCTGGTTCTCATTTTCCTGACGCACACATTGTCGTTCTCCTGTTTGGAAAGAAAAAGGTCACTCTTAAGTCATTTAAAACAACGATTTTCATAACTAAGTCTGCTCCGTAAAAACCCGAATCCTAACTAGGGGTGATCCTTTCTAGAAAATTAATTTTGAGGTTGGAGATGGGTTTTAAAACATCCTGTGAAAGTTACTTTTGTTTTTTAAACTATTTTTCTACTTGTTTTTTTTTTTAAACTTAAATAATTTGTCTTTTTGATGGAAAAGTTTGTAACATATTTTAAGTTAATACAAACAAAATCTCCACGCAAATACACAGATTTATACTAATTAAAAAATACTGCTTAGAAAAGCGAAACAGCAAGAATTAAAAAGTCCAAAGCTGAGTCTGAACACAAACGACCGGAAGAATTTGAATACTGAAATCCTGCGGAAGGCATCACCTCACGACAAAGCAAATGTTTCTCAATGACTGTGCCCTCGGGAAAAGGTCACGCGGGAGGCGTGCCCTCCCTCAGAGGCGGTGACGTGTGTCCCTGCGCTGCAGAGAGAGCGGTCACAGCACCAGCTACGAGGGCTGGGCACGGACACATCGCGTCTCTGCCGACCAGCTGCCTGCTCTGAACCTGAGCACTGGTGACCAAGGGTGGCGGGGACGTTCGATGGGACCTACGGCGGTGCTGTGACCATCAATCCAGCACACAGCAGACAAGTCGCTCCGGCCTCTGCAGCTGGCATCACACCAGACAATCATGTGTCAAGCAGTTGAGTCACACGCGGGTGCGAGAAACAGTCGAGTCACACGCGGGTGTGAGAACACAGGCCGATGGCGCCGCCTCCGGCTGACCGCCTGCTAAGAGGCAAGCGTGCCAGCTCGCCGAAAGCGAACAGATCGCCCTCTCTTTTAAACTAGCAAAATCAAGCCTCCCCCAGAAGAACCCCAACTGAGTGTGGCCATGCTCCGTGGAGCTACTCGGATGAGTCAGGTGCTGCCGAGTCAGCGGCACTTCCTGTCCTGACTTAAAGGGCACTTGATTGGGGAAGGTGACAGGACGCATCATTCCCCGGAACGGGAACTCTCACGGACGCTCCCAGCTTTACTCGTCCTCGCTTTTGAAAGGAACCCCCCTGAAATCGGACGGGGCCACCTTTGGTCTCCACCAAACAGGAGACCGAAGAAGCCACCTGTGTTAGTACGGGGCTGTGACAAGCAGACAGAAACTTCTAACGGGACAAATCTGTTCTTCCTGCACGAAGTCTTCACAACGTGAATTTACTATTCCAGCCGGGAATTCCCAAGACAGGCTTAACGACACACAGCGACGAAGACGTTTCAGATCTGCGCTGCGTGAGTGAGCGTTAACTGGGAGCCGGCAGTGCGTTATTATCTACAGTGGGTTTGATTTGCTTTTGCAACGTGGGGCCAAAGTTATTCTAAGAAACCTTCTGTGTTCATTAAAAACAATACCGGTAAATAACTTGCCTTTGTTAGACTTTCGGCAGATCGCTTGGCACTCCGGGTTACTCTCTGTTTGGGTTCATTCTCCAGAGTGTCCCCCGCAGGGGGGGCAGCAACCTTTCGGGGTCGCAGACACCCGCGGCCCGAACGTTTGGCTCCTTCCTTCTCTTCCCGAGCGTCCCCGTGGACGCCCGCTCTGCTGTCCCCTGCTTCCCCCGCGGCCCCGGCGGGCACCCTCCGCTGTCTTCCGGGTCGCGGGCGTGCTCCCCCTCCCTGGGCCTGGCCCCCCGGGGCAGGGTCCTCGGCTCCGTCTTCCAGATTCCGAAGCTTCATCTCTTGGGAGGTGTTCGGGGTCTTCTTTACATTGCGCCTCGTCGGAGCCTTTTCTGCTGACGTGAACCCGGGTCCTTGCTCTACTCCGCTGGTTTTATTTGGGCGTCTGGAGCGCAGGGACATGGCCTAAAAAATTCAAAAGACATCCACAAAATGCCAGTCAGGGGTAAGACAGAGCTTACAAAAAGTCAGGGGCAACTCAAAGGGGGACGCGTCTGAACATGTTACAGATTCCTGTCCTCGGATGCCCATCATCGAAGACATCCACTCTGTTCCTTTGGAGAAAGCGGCACCTCCACTGACACAGTGCAAACGAGGGACTCGGTCACCGTGTCACGGGTCCTAAGCAGCATGAGGGGCGTGGCAGAAAAACGCCATTACTCGGCAGTGAACGCAGCCCCCTCCTCATGCTTGGAGGCTCATCGCTAAGGCAGATGGGGAAGTCGCAATTTCTAAACGTTTACAGACTTCCCCACGCAGCAGGACCCTCTCTACGGACCAGTTCGCACAGCTGGCAGCCATGTCCTTCTCAGGACCCCCGCCCCATCCAGGGTTCCAGCCGCTAAACACCGACAGGCGTGTGGCTTCCGCCATGCTCGTGCCTGTGGCGTCTGCGGCCCCGCGTGCCTGCACGGCCGCGTCTTGTCAAAATCTGCCCACTCTCTGTAATCCCCGAAGGGCTACGCACGAGGGTCGGCGGTGACACAGTGTCGCCGGCGGACCCCTTGAGGAGGGATGGCCACGTGCAAATTCAGGTCCCACGCACAGCCTACACTAAACATGACACGGAAACGGACAACATCCATCCAACACGACAGCTAACGACCACGTGACAAACACCGTCACCTTCTCCGGAGGGGCCATGACTTCCGCCTTCTGTCGCTTGTTCTTGATGCTCACGGTGCTGCTGGGCAGGTCGGTCCTTTCTGCCGAAAGCCTCTGACTCCTCCTGTCCGTGACCGCGGGTCCGGGCGGTGGGCGCCTGTCTCTGGGAGCCGTCCGCTGCCGCTTCTGCAGAGGCGGGTCCTCTGCAGCGTCCGGTGGGCAAGTTCTTGTGCGCAGCCTCTTCGCTCCGGCCAAGTTCTCGTCTTTCCCGCGTTCCCTCGTGGGGGACCGGGAGACGCTCCCGTTCGGTGACCTTGCAGGGTCTTCCGTGGCCTCTACGCTGAGGGCCCTGGGGACTCTTCTGGATGTTCTCGCAGGTTTTCTTTTGTCCCGAGTCGGAGCCGGATCCCTCCGGGCGCTCTCGGCGTCGCTGCCCGGTGCCTCGTCCTGACCTGGGGCCGCGATGAGCTCTTGGCAGCCGGGCCGGTCCTCCGGGGGTGGAGGCTGCTCCGTCCGTGTCCGTAGTCGACGTCTGCTGCCCACTGCATTTCCCGCGGGGCCCAGCCTCTGCGCCACAGTCTCCTGACTCACGCTGGCTTTTTTATTTCCGCCGACTGCTGCCCTGTGTGAGCGCGTGGTTTTCCCTGACGTCCGTGTGGACTTCCTGGGGGCCGCTGGCTCCTCCTCCTCCACGTCCTCCTCCCTGGTGGGCGCCTTGCCCTGTCTCTTCTTGCTTGCTGCACGGATGCCTAGTTCTGGCCGTGAGGACTGGCGAAGCGTCTTCGCGGCTCGATCGTCAGTCCCCGGGCCATCCGTGTGATCTGAGGTTTGGAAGGGTCCTACGAGGCCGGCCAGGGCTCCCACGGCCCGGGCCATTTCCTTAGGTGCTCTTGGCCTCCTCTTGCTCCTAGTTACATTTTCTGCAGAGCCCGCCTTCTGTTCTGAAGTTTTCTTAAACAATTTGATGTCTTCATCATCGCCCTTTGGTTCTCGGTGTGAGCTCGTGGTTTTCCTTGACGTCCGTGTGGGCTTCTTGAGTGCCGATGGCTCAACTTCTATGTCCACTTTCCCTGGACGTTTCTTTCTACCTGCTGGTTCTGCCTGTGGAGATTTGCAGGGTATTTGGGCTTTGTCATCAGTCACTGGTGCCACTGTGTGGTCCGGTGTTCGGAAAAGCTCTTCGATGCCGGCCAGGTCCTCCGGGGCTGGGGCCTTTCCCTGGGGAGTTCTTGGCCTCCTCCTACTTCCAATTACAATTTCTGTAAGCTCCAGTTTCTGTTCTGGTGTTGCCTTAAATGCTCTGATGCCTTTATCATCACCTGGCTCTCTGGGCAAGTGTGTGGTTCCCCCTGGTGTTGGCGTGGGCTTCCTCGGTGCCAACGGCTCTTCCTCTATGTCCCCTTTCTCCAGGGGCGTCTTCCGATGGCTTTTCCTACTTGTCGATGTGTTGACTGGTTCTCCTCGTGGAGATCTGCAGAGTATTTGGGTTTTGTCGTCAGTCACTGGTGCCACTGTGTGGTCCGGTGTTCGGAAAAGCTCTTCGATGCCGGCCAGGTCCTCCAGGGGTTGGACCTTTCCCTTGGGAGTTCTTGGCCTCCTCCGACTCCCAGTTACATTTTCTGTGAGCTCCAGTTTCTGTTTTGGAGTTGCCTTAAAAGCTTTGGTGATCTTTTCATCACCTGCTGATTCTCTGGGTGAGCATGTGGTCCCCCCTGGGGCCCGTGGGGACTTCCTGAGTGCCAACAGTGCTTCCTCCACGTCCACTTTCTGGAGAAGTGTCTTGAGACCTCTGGTCCTAACAGTAGGTGTGATGAGTGGTTCTGCTTGTGGAGATTTGCAGGGCGTTTTGGTTTTGTCATCAGTCACCGGTTCCAGGGTGCGGTCCGGTGATTGGAAGAGCTCTCTGAAGCCGGCCAGGTCTTCCAAGGCTTGGACCTTTCTCTTGGGTGTCCTTGGTCTTCTCCTGCTCCCAGCTGCATTTTCTGCAGGGTCCGGTTTCAGTTCTGGAGTTGCCTGAAACAACTCGATGACTTTCTCGTCACCTGCTGGTTCTCTGGGTGAGCATGTGGTCCCCCCTGGGGCCCGTGGGGACTTCCTGAGTGCCAACAGTGCTTCCTCCACGTCCACTTTCTGGAGAAGTGTCTTTAGTCCTTTGGTCACAATGGTGGACGTGATGACTGGGTCCACTTGTGGAGATCTGCAGGGTGTTTTGGTTTTGACATCAGTCACCGGTTCCAGGGTGCGGTCTGGTGTTTGGAGGAGCTCTCTGAAGCCGGCCAGGTCTCCCAGGGATTGGACCCTTCTCTTGGGTGTTCTTGGCCTCCTCTTGCTTCCGGCTGCATTTTCTGCAGGGTCCAGTTTCTGTTCTGGAGTTGCCTTAAATACTTTAATTTCTTTATCATCACTTGGTTCTCTGGGCAAGTGTGTGGTTCCTCCTGGTGTGGGCGTGGGCTTCCTCGGTGCCGACAGCTCTTCCTCTGTGTCCACTTTCTCTAGGGGTGTCTTGAGATGGCTCTTTCTATTTGTGTTAATCGGTTCTGGTTTTGGAGATCTGGAGGGTATGTTGTTGGATCTGTCATCAGTCATTGCGTCTACGGTGCAGTCCGGTGTTAGGAGGAGCTCTCTGAAGCTGGCCAGCTCTCCCAGGGGTTGCTCCTTCCTCTTGGGCGTTCTTGGCCTCCTCTTGCTTCCGGCTGCATTTTCTGCAGGATCCACTTTTTGTTCTGGAGTTTGCTTTAAATGACTGACGTCTTTATCATCACCTCCCGCTTCTCCGTGTGAGTGTGTGTTCTTTATCATCACTTGGTTCTCTGGGCAAGTGTGTGGTTCCTCCTGGTGTGGGCGTGGGCTTCCTCGGTGCCGACAGCTCTTCCTCTGTGTCCACTTTCTCTAGGGGTGTCTTGAGATGGCTCTTTCTATTTGTGTTAATCGGTTCTGGTTTTGGAGATCTGGAGGGTATGTTGTTGGATCTGTCATCAGTCATTGCATCTACGGTGCAGTCCGGTGTTAGGAGGAGCTCTCTGAAGCCAGCCAGCTCTCCCAGGGATTGGACCCTTCTCTTGGGTGTTCTTGGCCTCCTCTTGCTTCCGGCTGCATTTTCTGCAGGATCCACTTTTTGTTCTGGAGTTTGCTTTAAATGACTGATGTCTTTATCATCACCTCCCGCTTCTCCGTGTGAGCGTGTGGTCTCCCCTGGTGTTGGCGTGGGATTTCTCAGTGCTGAGATATCTTCATCCATTTCCACTTTCCCAAGAGATGTCTTGAGACGGCTCTTTCTACCTGTTGGCATAGTGACTGGTTCTGCTTGTGGAGATCTGCAGGGTGTTTTCGTTTTGACATCAGTCATTGCGTCTACGGTGTGGTCTGGTGTTTGGAGGAGCTCTCTGAAGCCGGCCAGGTCTTCCAGGTGCTGGACCTTTCTCTTGGGTGTCCTTGGTCTTCTCCTGCTCCCAGCTGCATTTTCTGCAGGGTCCGGTTTCAGTTCTGGAGTTGCCTGAAAGAACTCGATGACTTTCTCGTCACCTGCTGGTTCTCTGGGTGAGCATGTGGTCCCCCCTGGGGCCCGTGGGGACTTCCTGAGTGCCGACAGGGCTTCCTCCACGTCCACTTTCTGGAGAAGTGTCTTGAGACCTCTGGTCCTAACAGTAGATGTGATGAGTGGTTCTGCTTGTGGAGATTTGCAGGGTGTTTTGGTTTTGTCATCAGTCACCGGTTCCAGGGTGCGGTCCGGTGTTTGGAAGAGCTCTCTGAAGCCGGCCAGGTCTTCCAGGTGCTGGACCTTTCTCTTGGGTGTCCTTGGTCTTCTCCTGCTCCCAGCTGCATTTTCTGCAGGGTCCGGTTTCAGTTCTGGAGTTGCCTGAAACAACTCGATGACTTTCTCGTCACCTGCTGGTTCTCTGGGTGAGCATGTGGTCCCCCCTGGGGCCCGTGGGGACTTCCTGAGTGCCAACAGTGCTTCCTCCACGTCCACTTTCTGGAGAAGTGTCTTGAGACCTCTGGTCATAACGGTGGACGTGATGACTGGGTCCACTTGTGGAGATCTGCAGGGTATGTTGTTGGTCTTGTCATCAGTCGCTGGTTCCAGTGTGGGGTCTGGTGTTTGGAGGAGCTCTGTGAAGCCGGCCAGGTCTCCCAGGGGTTGCTCCTTCCTCTTGGGCGTTCTTGGCCTCCTCTTGCTTCCGGCTGCATTTTCTGCAGGATCCACTTTTTGTTCTGGAGTTTGCTTTAAATGACTGATGTCTTTATCATCACCTCCCGCTTCTCCGTGTGAGCGTGTGGTCTCCCCTGGTGTTGGCGTGGGATTTCTCAGTGCTGAGATATCTTCATCCATTTCCACTTTCCCAAGAGATGTCACGGCACGGCTCTTTCTACCTGTTGGCATAGTGACTGGTTCTGCTTGTGGAGATCTGCAGGGTGTTTTCGTTTTGACATCAGTCATTGCGTCTACGGTGTGGTCTGGTGTTTGGAGGAGCTCTCTGAAGCCGGCCAGGTCTTCCAAGGCTTGGACCTTTCTCTTGGGTGTTCTGGGTCTTCTCCTGCTCCCAGCTGCATGTTCTGCAGGGTTCCGTTTCTGCTCTGGAGTGTCCTCACATGCTGTGACATCTTTCTCATCACCTTCCGGTTCTCCGGGCGTGTTCGTGGACTCCCCTGGGGTATGCGGGCGCTTCCTCTGTGCCGACAGCACTTCCACGCTCACCTTCTGGGACGGCGTCTTGACCTGCACGTTCCCCTGGGCTGGCGTTCTGAATGGTTCTGGTTCCGGAGGTTGAGAGCCCACCGTTGTGGTTCTGCTCTCTGTGTCCCCTGGTTCCCTGGCATGACCCGGGATCCGGAGAGGCCCGTGGCTGCCCCGGGCTCCTGCGGGGTCTGTGTCGTGCGGTCTCCCGAGGGCGACCGGGTCTTCCGGTCTCAGCGCCCGCCTCAGCTCCGAAGCCCTGGATCTCCTGGCGGCTGCTGCCTTTTCGGAATTTTCCTCCGATCTGTTGCTTTTCCTACATGTTTCGAAGGATCTCGCACTTTCCTTCAGCTCTGCCTCCGGCTTCTGCTCTCTCGATGGCGTCCTCCCCAGACGTCCTCCCCAGGTGTCCTCCACAGCGCTGGCTTCCGTGACTCCGTGCTCGCCCTCCGCACCTGGCGTCCGTGCGTTTCCGAGCTCCGCGGACCTTCTGAGCTTGTCTGCGCTGGATGCCGGCCGCAGAGGCTCCGCCTCCGGCGGTGCGCGGCCCATCTCTCCATTTACTATAAAGCGCTGTCGTCTGAAGGCCGAGTTTGTAGAGGTTTCCTCCGATGGCTCTTCTGGTGCATTCCGAGTGCTGGGGGACACCGCCTCTCCTGCAAGACACAAACGAGTACATGATAAATACATTCTGTTCACTGTGTTGTTGCAATCTGGTATTTCATCCTCACGAAATGTGGTATAAGAGCCAACCGTCCAGCCTCCTAGCCACCTGATAAAATTATGAGTCTGCTTACGTGGCCACAACTCTGTCTTACGTATGAACTGTGCACACTGAAACACAATGTTATTTGGTCACGAATTCCTAGGACGTGGTGAGGACCTGCATGAGTTAGATGAAAGAAAACAAAATTTCTTAAGAAGGCTCTCCTACAGGGTGCTGCCACGCCGTGTCTCAGGGGCCGGAACACAGACATCTGTTCTTTCAAGCGGGAAAAACAGCCATTTCTTCTTTTGAACCACAGATGCAATGACATGGCTTACACTCAGTCTAGCTGTTGTCCAGGTCACACTGAAACATCTACTTTTTGGCTCCGAAAGCATCTTCAGTGGAGCAGTTCCCTCTACGGCAGGAACTCGGTGCTGAATGGGAGTGAGGACAGGCTCGTGTCACCCATTCACACTCACACTGCGGCACGCTAACCTCCCCCCCGCCCCCGGAAGACTGGCAGGAATACTGCACAGTACGCACTGAGCTCTCTCCAGTAGTTTGCAATAATCTATGTTTGATTTACATCTGATGAGCGATCACTACGCTGTTCTGCTCATCACCCTCTGTACTTATAACAGATAGAGGTGGCAGTTTGATTATTAAAGGAATAAGCCTCTCCACCAAGTCACCGAATGCCAATGCCGGTTCAACCGCTGATAAGAATTTCCCCTGAAAACAAGAACAGA